GTGGGGGCGTGTCCCGCCGCCTCACCTTCCAGGTTTCCGGTGGGGGCGGTACCCGTCACCACACCCACTCATACTGACCTTCCTTTTTTTTCCCCTGAGGATATTTTTCATATTAATCAGACAATTCTCAAACTATTTAGTTCTGCTAAAAGAAACCCGTTCTCCTTTGATTTAGTTTTGACCCAGATGGAGGATTTTTTACTTTCTATCCCAGGCCTTTCTTTCCTCCCCGAGTATGATTTTTTGTTATCAGAAATAAAGACTCTAAAGACTCCTGTTGCAGCCTTTCCTGAGGTGGACTCCACGCTGCACGCAGCCATCCCTGAGGTGGACCCCACGCTGCACGCAGCCTCTGAGGTGGCTCCTCACCTCTCCAACTCCGAGGGGGTTCCGGCTGACGCTCCTCATCTCTCCTACTCCGAGGGGGTCCCGGCTGACGCTCCTCATCTCTCCTACTCCGAGGGGGTCCCGGCAGACGCTCCTCATCTCTCCTACTCCGAGGGGGTCCCGGCAGACGCTCCTCATCTCTCCACATCTCCAGAAGGGTCGGCGCTCTCCACATCTCCAGAGGGGTCGGCGCTCTCCACATCTCCAGAGGGGTCGGCGCTCTCCACATCTCCAGAGGGGTCGCCTCCATGGTCCTCCATGTCATCTGCTGCAGAGCCACAGGCCTCTCCGTCATCTGCTTCAGAGCCACAGGCCTCTCCGTCGTCTGCTGCAGAGCCACAGGCCTCTCCGTCGTCTGCTGCAGAGCCCCTGGTCTCTCCCCCAGCAGCAGCAGCAACTCCCCTGGTCTCTCCTCCAGCAGCAGCAACTCCCCTGGTCTCTCCTCCAGCAGCAGCAACTCCCCTGGTCTCTCCGACAGCAGCAGCAACTCCCCAGGTCTCTCCGACAGCAGCAGCAGCAACTCCCCAGGTCTCTCCGACAGCAGCAGCATCTCCCCAGGCCTCTCTGACAGCAGCAGCATCTCCCCAGGCCTCTCTGACAGCAGCAGCATCTCCCCAGGCCTCTCCGTCTCCTGCTGCAGTTTCCAAGGTCCCCTCGTCTCCTGCTGCAGTTTCCAAGGTCCCCTCGTCTCCTGCTGCAGTTTCCAAGGTTCCCTCATCTCCTGCTGCAGTTTCCAAGGTTCCCTCGTCTCCTGCTGCAGTTTC